GGTGTACTTGGGACCACAATACCTACTTGATCTTACTATTGTTGCTACAAAACAAGAGATTTCTAGTATTTTTCTCCAGTTAATTTTAAATTATCATTAGTCACTCTTCTGAAAAGAACACAACTTCTAAAAGCATTTGGTATTTAATGCTCATTCTCTACCCTGGTTCATGTCCACTGGCTTCAATTTAGGGGAAATACATGTTGCTTTCTTCAATTTTATTCCATACACCATTTGGCAACATTTGTATTGTCGCCCCCCTGACCACAGCAATAAAGGGACTGCAAATGTTGTCTACATTTTACACATACGTGAATAAATGCTTTGAGTGGCCAAACTTTAAGAATGCTCTAAGCTGAGAGCTGGTGGCTCATGCCTGTAATCCTAGCCACTCAGGAGGTTGAGATCTAAGGATCACAGTTCAAAGCCAGCCCGGGCAGGAAAAGCCACGAGACTCTTAACTCCCATAAACCACTCAGAAAACCGGAAGTGGCGCTGTGGCTCAAGTGATAGAGCGCTCTCCTTGAGCTGAAGAGCTGAGGGACAGCGCCCAGGTCCAGAGTTCAAGCCCCATGACCAACAACAACAACAAAAAAGAATGCTCCAAAAAGTTTTAGCCTCTGGGTATCTACCCCTAACGTAATCCTTTCCCCACAATTCATCTGGGTTAGCCACTGTGACCCAGTTTGGTCTTGGGCTCGCTCCTGAGTTCGGCACATGGCGAGCAGCCCTGTGGACACAACACATGGTCGCCGGGAATGAGCGGGGAAGCACCTTCCCTGCCGGGCTGAGGCGCGTCTCGGTCACGACCTGCGGCTGATGCACGCCACAGTCAGCACGCTCACACGCCTGCCCCTCGAAAAACACTGACGTGAGGAAAACCTGTGGAAGAAAGCGTGGGGCCACAAAAGACAACCTACAGCTGCTGACCCACGTGGACAGCCCAGCTGCTGCTCAGGAGAGTGAACTCTGCCCATCAGAACAGACTGAGCTCCTGGACACAACCTTTTAGCCAAAGTTCAGCTTCACCTGAACACTTTGACCTATCCCCCAAATGACCATCTCTCCACCTAATACCGATCTGTGGGAAAATCAGGAAATACATGTGTATAAACTGTACGCTTTTTCCTTTGAGAAGTACAATTACACACAGTTACCTCTTCATACATGTTTTTCCGGAACTCCAGGTCCTCGGTGAGGCTCTGGCAGCGGTTCTCCAGGTCCACTTTGAGTAAAGTCTCTTCTGCTAACTGTTTCTTCGCAGCCGCTAAGGAGGCCTCCAGCTGTTACAAGAAAAAGAACTGTGAGAAACCCTTTTGAATAGAGTGACCTAGTGAATCTAGTGAATGACCTTTCCTGCATCATGCCATCTTTCCCGTCTCTCATCTGCTTTGAGAGCAAGGGGCAGAATGACAGCACGCAGAGAGGCAAGATGTACGTGATTCCAAGAGGAAGGCTCTTTGCTGGGAGAGAATCACGCTGAGTGTCACTCTCTCAAGACTTTTCTGCAGGCCAGCCACCAAACAAAATTCCAAAGGATAAAATAATACATTGAAAAAGCAATCAATCCATCAAACCGTGGCTCAAGACCGATGCCCACAGCCCCGTCCAACGCAGCTCGGAGCGCTGCTCTCTACCTGGGCAACCTGGTCCTTCAGGTCCTCCACGTCGCCCTCTAAACTCTTCTTGTCGCCGAGGGCAGTAGCCAGAGCTGCGTCTTTGGAGTTCAGAGCCGCTTCATATTCCCGAAGCTTGATCTGGGCTCCATTAAGATCGGATTCTTTCTTTGCATAACTGTAAAGCATTTGAAAGAAACAGACATCAAATTCTCCCCCTGACTCAGGGTCTCCTCGGGGCTGTCTAAACCTACTGGACTGAGAAGGCCAGTGCACGAGCGCGGGATGTAGAGTCAGTGTGTGCTGTTTTCCCACGTGAGGTGATTGCTGCGGACTGTGGGTAGATGGAAAGCACTGGACAAGAGGCCCAGAGCCCTGCTTGTCTCTAAATGAGAGCACATTTAGGTTTTCCTCATTCTAATACTCTTCCTTTATTCTATATATTTCTCTTTTGCTCAACTAAGAGGCACACTAGAAAAAGTATTTTTTGAAAAGTTCAAGTTTATTTCAGTACAATATATACTATAAACCAAGATGTATAGACCGAAGTCAACATACTTAAATTGAGATTAAATACGGAGTCTGAAAAGTCACATTAACAATTTCCTAAGAAGCTGAGACGCTGGTGGCTCACACCTGTGATCCTAGCTTTTCAGGAAACTAGATCTGGAAGACAGCAGTTCAATGCCACACAAAGCAGAAAAGTCTGTATGACTCTCACCTCTAATAACCACCAAAAAAAAAGCCAGAAGTAAGGCTGTGGTTCAAACGGCAGAGTGTAGGCTTAAGAACAAAGAAAAATGGGCTGGGAAGATGGCTCAGTGGTAAAGCGCTGGCCTTGCATGCCTGAGGCCCTGGGTTCAATTCCTCAGCACCACATAAGCAAAAGGTAAAAAGCTGGAAGTGGCGCTGTGGCTCAAGTGGTAGAGCACTAGCCTTGAGCTGAAGAGCTATGGGACAGTGCCCAGGCCCAGAGTTCAGGCCCCATGACTGGACCCCCAAAGAAAAAGAAAGAAAGAAAGAAAAATGCTTAGGAACAGCACCTAGGTCCTGATTTCAAACACCGAGACTGGCATTAATTTTTTTAAAAAATTCCATGACTATATCATATACAAGTTCCCTTGATTATAAAAAGCTAGTTGGGCCAGGAGCTGGTGGCTCATACCTATAATCCTAGCTACTTAGGAGGAGATCTGAGATTTGAGGATCACAGTTCAAAACCAACCCAGGCTGGGAAGTCCATGAGACTCTTATCTCCAATAAACAACTCAGAAAACTGGACATGGCACTGTGTCTCAAGTGGCTGAGTGCTAGCTTTGAGCTGAAGAGCTTAGGGACAGCGCCCAGGCCCAGAGTTCAAGCCCCATGACAGAAAGAAAGGCAGAAAGACAGACAGACAGACAGAGGAAGGGAGGAAGGAAGGAAGGGAGGAAGGGAGGAAGGGAGGAAGGGAGGAAGAAAGGAAGGAAGGAAGGATCTAGTTGGGTACTAGTGGTACACATTTGTAATTCTAGCTACTCAGAAGTCTGAGACCTGACTGAAGCTTGAGGTTTGAAGCTAGGCTGGATAGAAAAATCTGACTGTGGGACTCCAATTAATGGCCAGAAAGAAAAGCTGGAGGTAGAGATGTGGCTCTAGCGAGGCTTGAGCAAAACCACACAAGGCGCTGAGATTACGCCAGCACACAAAAATCAATAGTGAACATTTTAAAGCCGCATGCAATTATAATTTACAGCTAGCAGTCACGGTGTCTCATGCGTGTCCTAGCTACAAAGGAGGCTGAGATCTGAGGATCGTCTTGGCCATCCCAGGCAGGAAAGTCCGTCAGACTCAGAAAAAGCCGGAGGTGGCACTGTGGCTAAATTGGTAGCTAGCTTGAGCACAAGGAGCCCAGGACAGTTCCCAAGGCCAGCGTTCAAGCCCCAGGACCGATCAAAAAAAATTAATAATCATGTTCAGGCTAAATGCTTAGTTTCTTCAAATGTTACGTTTCTACAGGAAAACGGAGATCTGGTGACAAGAGCCGCTACTTCATCTACTCTAAAACACTGGTGGCTCGTGCCTACTGCAAGCCTGGCTAAACAAGGCTGAGATCTGAGGATTGCAGTTCGAAGCTGACCTGGGCAGAAAAGTTCCCATGGGACTCTTATCTCCAATGAACCACTCAAAAACCAGAATTGGTGCTGTGGCTCAAGGGGTAGAGTGCTAGCCTTGAGCACAAAGAGGCTCAGGGACAGCACCCAGGCCCTAAGTTCAAGCCCGCCCCCGCCAAAAAAAAAAAAATCAGCATTACTATCACAGTCCACACAATTTAAAATAGTCACATTCTGTATCATATTACGATGCTTACAAAAGCAAGTGACAAAAAAAAACCTCAACTACACCACCACAACTATGTCGCAAAAAAACCCTCAACTACACCACCACAACTACATCGCAAAAAAAACCTCAACTATACCACCGCAACTACATCGCAGCTTCATGCAGTTCTTCCCAGCAGGAGAGAAGCTGTGCCCTCAGGGGCTGGTGCACCACCAACTGCTAAGGTGTAACAAGGCTAGATGCAGTAATTTAGAAAAATGAGCTTATTTGCTGTAGCATCATTCTTGTGTTTAGTTACAGTGGCCTAGTGTGTAACCCACGCATGTAAGTCACTGTCCAATGAACATCTTGTACAGTACATATAACCCAGGAACCTCAAACTTAATCAAAGGCTGGACACCTAATCCACAAACCCCAAACCAAGCAAGCTGAAGAGCGCAGGACTAACGGGGAGGACGGCCTTGGTGACCAAAACTGACTGAAGCTTCTCTGCCACTGCGGGAACTGCTGAGCCTGTGTCACTCCCCATCAAATTCAGAGTCACATAAAATACTGCTACCCCACAACAGTGTGACTGCCCTGTGACGCATAAAATAAATACTACTATCCTACCACAGTGTAACTGCCTTGTGATGTATGCTTTCTTGAAGTTCCAACTTTCACATTCTGAGCATATAAAACAGACACAAATCCCAAGTTGGAAATGTTGTTACAAGTGCAAGGAACTTCTAACTTACACATCCAGCCCAAGCAGTAACACACTCTACCTTTTAAACATCAGCATTGACACAGAAGTAGTCCCACTTCCCACAAAAACTGCTATTAACAAGTTTTAAAAACATGATCATCAGAAAGTTCTAATAATCAAGGAGGAGGAGGAAGAGGGAAGGAGGAGGAAGGAGGAAAAGGGAGATGAGAAGGAAGAGGAAGGGAGGGAGGGAGGGAGGGAGGGAGG